CCGCGAGACAAAGGTATCGCTTCAGTTAACCATTCATTAACGATGACTTGCATGTTAGCACCATTATATAGTGTGCTAACCCAGTGACAGAATGATGAACCAAAACCAAAACTGTTTAAGAGATTCAATAAAAAGGTGCGATTAACTCGATCGAAGGCTTTCTCTTGATCGAGGCTGAGTGGAATGCCAGTTTCGTTAGTGCGCTCGATATAGTCTAAAATATCCCGCAATAGGTGTAGGGTTGACGTAATTTTCCGACCGGGCACAGAACAGGTTTGATCAGGATCAACGATAAACTGTAAAACTTTAGAGAGACGGAGAGAAAGAGACTTGGAACAGATCCTATAATCGACATTTAGTAAAGAAATTGGTCTCCAATTTTTAAGATCTTTGCGATCCCCTTTCTTGAAAATGACTCAAGTATTACTAGTGTTCATAGACTCGCACATCTCTCCAGCTTGAGAGCATGCATTGAATACCTGGAACAGATATGGACCCAAACGGTCCCAGAACTTTGAGTAAAACTCGACCGAAAGGCCATCAGGGCCTGGAGCTTTGTTTGTGTTCATTTTATTCAGAGCGACTGTAATTTCCTCGAGCGTCAAGTCACCTTCGCAAGAGGATACCTGATCGGACGTGAGTTGACGAGACAAGGAAGATAAAAGATCGGTTTGCATCGCGACATCTACCTGCTCTTCGAAAAAGAGTCGAGAGTAAATATCAACGTGCGCTTTCGCAATTTCTTCTTGAGAGAAGACCTCGTTGCTGTCTGAATCGTACACTAAAGAGATGTGCGATCGTTGCGCTTTTCTTCACTGTAAATTAAAAAAATTTCGGCTGGGGCGTTCGCCCTCTTCTAACCATTTGGCATGACTACGAATCATAATTCCCTCTGCTTTTTTGGTACGGAGAGCTTTCAGGCGACTTTCAGTATTGGATATACAATCGGAGACGTTTGTATCACCATTAACTAGACGTTGCCGAAGTCGAATTAATTTATTGGTTAAGAAAACTTCATCTCTATGTAACCCTCTCCGTTTCTTAGGGGAAAAGGAGATCGCTTCTTCCTTAACGGACTGTTTAGAAACTCCCACCAATCCTGGATGCAAAAGAAAGCGTGTAAGAAACGTATGTGATCATGGATTAAATTATCTATAGCAAAGCAGAAATCTTTGTCTTTCAAAAAAGAATTGTTAAAATTCCATACACCAGGACCGCGTTTTATGTTACTAGGAAAGTCAAAAAACAAGGGAGACAAAGTCGTGATCAGAAAATGAACAAGGAAATATATCACACTTCGTCTCAGAGGAGAGCAAATCCTTAGAGACGAGAAATTTATGGAGTCTGCCCGCAATTGTTGAGGTAGAATTGAACCACGTAAATTGCCTTTGATTAGGGTGCAATTTACGCCATACATCGATAAGAGTTAAAACACTTTTCAATAACTCGTAATCTTTATGAATAGCGACGTTGCCCCCAAATTTGTCTAGAGCGTTATCATAACAGTTAAAATCCCCGCCAACGATAGTCGCCGAGGATGGAATAAAAAGTCATGTAAAGAGTCGAAAAAATCTTTTCGCTTAGATGGATTGGTGGGAGCGTAAATATTTACTAAGTTCAGATCTACATCGTTGGTCCTGATCAGGATACGACCGTGCGAGTCTTTCTTCCATGATATGACTTCATCTGAAATTCTAGGGGAAATCAAAGTTGCCACTCCGCCTTGTTGGCCGATGGCAGGGAACCAGAAACGACGTCCCGGCCATCAATGGGACACGGCCTTGATCAGAGACTCAGAACTAATAAACGTCTCTTGTGCAAAGCAAAAATCACAAGACATCTTTTCAATTGAATCAAATAGATAATTGTGGGTGAGGGAGATTCCCCATGCCCCTCGCATTGATAGTTAATAATTTGAAAGATATTTAGAAAGAAAGACTCACTTAAACGTTACAAAGGCTTACTTGGATTTTGTTGACCTGTTTCTTCCATTTTTCCTCTCTGAGGTAGGGGTCGAGAGTTCAGAAGATTTTCTTTTCAATTCATGGGTGGTTTCCATATCTTCTTCGGGGTTATCAGGAGTGACCAGTGGGGGAGTGTGTGATGCAGTGGGCACAGGGATTGAAGAACGAGGCTTTCCAGGAACGAGTGTTGGCGTGGTAGGTTTTCGAAAACAGGCAAGAGATAGCTTAGCAGGTGTTCGGCGGGGAGGCGGTTTGATGACAGACTTGATTGAAGCAATGAGACCTTGTGAAGTAATAAGTGGCGAGTCCGTGGGGGTAGGTTCAGAAGATTGGCCAAGGGGTGAAGATGTACAATCAGACGTTTGAGGAGATTGGACAGGTTGTTCAGACTGTGAACTGCATGTAGACGGTTGAGAAGGTTGGGCAGACTGTTCGGACAAAGGATCAGGCTGGTTAAATTCTTTTGACTGTTCAAGTAGCGGTTGAGCGGTTAAATCAGAAACAGGTTGTTCAGGCGAGGGATGAATAGGTTGCTCAGCAGACTGTGTAGGCGGCGGCAAAACGGAGGCCAGCGGAAGATTTTCATCAATGGACAAGGAATCCTGCTGATCGTCTTCGATATTTACGTCAGTAGAGGGAGAGTGTTGTGGTTCATCTTCTATGTTTACGATTTCGGACTCGTCCGTAGGAGCGCCATGCACCGTCGGGAAAACCCAAGAATAGTCGCAATTAGCTCCTAGATGACCAGGCTCTTTGCATATGCAACAAAGCATCGGGTGTGGGCACTGTCGTGCCTCGTGTCCGGTCTTTTCACAGTTGAAACAAACCTTATCGTTACACGTGTTACTATAATGTCCGGGCAATTGCACCTTCGACAAGTTGGAAGTTGATTGCTGTGCTTTACAAAGATCTGCATTTTCCCGAAAGGAAAATAACTTGGAATACGCTTGATAACCCGAACACTATAATGTCTTAGGCCGTTGTATACGTTTGGGGCATAAGAATGCTTTCCTCTCCGATAATGCAAAACCTCGCAGAATGGTGGCAGTCGTTTGATGATAGCTAAATCCAATAATTCAAAGGGCGCGTCATAAAATGTTAAAATGTTATAGGCTTGTCAATATCTTGAATTGCGTAATACTGGCTATCGATTAACAAAGAATTTAACCCAAGACGTTTACCATTCGCTTCTATGGACTTGAAAGTAACCACGACTTCCCCATTCATTATTCGCTGCAAACATTGAATCTCCGTCGGCTCGATCTTCGAAAGAGTCAAAGCGTCGAAAACGGAGCGAGCAGAGATTTGCCTGTGCGGCGTAAAAAAAGCTGTCTTAGGTCGTTGTAGTATATGGTTTTCGTTCTCCCAAACTTGTTGTATCAAATCATTAACCGGAATATTTCCTATTCCAGACGTACGAGCGGCGCGTGAAGCGTACGAATCTCCGTTAACAATATGTAGACTTTCCGAAGGGACATTATCGCCAGCAACGGTCGAGACATCTTCAAAATTTCCATCATCATGTTCACCAGAATCCATAATTCCTCCATCATGTTCGCTAAATTCCATGATTCCTCAAGCTTTCCACCAAGCAATAAATGAGAAAAAGCCCCACGGGGTGAAAATAGAAGCAAGTAATTCGAGTGAAAAAAACACTTACGTATGCTTGGAGCTCAAAATCGCACATCTGATTGAGTAATGTTACGGCCTTCTGGGCCTCATCAGTGCAGTTTTTTTTATGTTTAAGGTGGACGGCCGGGCCCCCGATGAAGGGAGGTGCAGTGCCCGCCGACCTACATGTCTAAACCCAACCCATGGCAGGCGTGCAATGCCTTAGGGATGGGGTCCACCATAAACGAGGGTCACCAGACGCCAAACTCGCTGGGGAATCGAACCCCACCTCACCTAAAAATTACACACTCACTCCAAGGAAGAACGCACTCACAATAATAATAGCAGACCAAAACGATAATAATAGCCCCTAGCCAGCCAAGGGGTGGCACTGTAAAAAACCAAAACGATAATCATAGCCCCTAGCCAGACAAGGGGAGGCACCAGAAAAAACCAAAACAATAATCATAGCCCCTAGCCAGCCAAGGGGAGGCACAACAAAAACCAAAACAGCTAGAAAGCAAACCGGAGGGAGTCACCATGCACGGATGCAATGACACCACGGGCACACCACTGCCGATAAAACACGCGACGACGCCTGTTAGACTTGCACCGCCTGAAGGAGACTGGTAGGTAGGACTTCAGGCGGGCCTTGATGGATGCAATCACCGCCACGGCGCTAGGACGAATATCACGAAACCGGAAATCATTTCTACACAGCCAGATACAAAACTTAGAGACATTGAGAAGATAGACAAAAACACGCGGAACAGAAACAAGGTCA